TTCTCATGCTTAAATGACAAATACAATGTCGTGATTCGAAAAGACACTTAATTTCTATCATTTGGTAACGCGAGACTGTCAGTCAATTGGCTGTTATTTCTAAAACGCTGAAAAACACGGCAGAAATCAATAAACTGTAGCCCTCAGATCTCTGTCAATTAATTTCTGGCATTAGTTACAAATCATGCTTGACAATCAAAGACTGCGTGATAAATCAAGCTATTCGATTGAGGAGTTTTTGTCAAGAAGTTTGATAAATGTCATAAAATTAATATTTATTCATAAGGTGTGCGCCCCAGGAGTGTATAGACAATAATTTCTCGGTTATTTGAAGTTCATCGTTAGGGACTGTGTGAAAACTCAATCACAGTTTTTCCGGAACGAGTGAGGAATGAAAAACTTCCTTGTGTTAAACGGAACTAAAGAATCCCTTCCGATTTTACTTTACTACTTATTTTTCACGGTGGGTGTTAACACCTTTAACACACACATACCTGCTGTTCCCATCTAGTACCTATTGAGTCTCTGAATAGGTAACACTGAACACGCTCGAGGGCATACAAGGGCAGGATAAGATGAAGTTCCCGCCGCTTTTAGCTGCGAGTTCCTGTTGTTATTCACTTTCCGACAGTTTTCGCAACATGCACGTGTAACATTGAAAGGAAACATAAAAAACCATCCGAATTTTTCCCTTAGCACTGACCTCTTAACTCACAAGAAAGGGCAAAGCCGAAAATGTAACGGAAAAGGCGCGTATTTACTCAAATTAATGCGAACATTTTTCAAATGTATTCATAAAGTATATTGGATGCACTGAAAAAACAAAACTTTCCCTAAGCTGCGCCTTAAGCAACTGCGAGTTCTGTAGAGATATGAACGGCATCCGGTCAGATACGAGGTCACATACGCGGAAGATCGGTCGCTGTTAAATTCAGTGCTTTACCGTAAAAATTCATTCAAATTTTTTTGTGGTTTTCTCGGTACTTAGACGATCTAAAAGCACCCCTCTTATCTCAATGGACCAAAGGTAGACAACAGAACAAAACAAGCACAATGTGTTTCCAACCAACTCCTCCTTTTGAGAGCAAAAAAAACATACATCATCGGGCAACAGTCACTTTAAGACTAGATCATAATGGACAAAACTAGCTTTTCACTTGAGTTAGAAACGAATTATAGTCTTTAATAGAACTAACTGTTAGAGGATATGTGCAATTTTGAGAGACAATCTGATCATGATTTAATTGGTGAAGGGTCTAACCCTGAGCCGAAGTAAACGTAAACTTCACGAACTAAAGACAAAGCTTTAAAACTTTTAGGATGTTCTTACATGAATTTGTTCTCGATCTATTTTCATTGGTCATGAAAAGACCTTATTTTAAGGGGCTCGGTCGTAATCCTGTTTAATTTTCAGCCCATCAAAAGGCCATATTGACCGTCTTTTACTGATTTAATCTCGGTCACGTACACACTTGTAGATATACAGAGCGATACAATTTAATTCAACACCTGAATAAGATTTCCGCAAGGAGGCGTTTTACATGGCATTTTTGGTATGGCATTTGAAACGAAATCAAAAAGGGGATAACTCCCCTTTTATATAGTACGATCAGATTTTCTTTTCGCCTTTCTTCTTTGACAAATATTCAACGCTTTCTATTGCTTCTCAAACTAGTAAGTCAGTGCTGAAGTTTCCTTCAAAAACTTTCCTTTTCCAGTCGAAACCGAAAAGTATCTCTTGGTTATATTCGCACGACTGAAACGTAAAGTCGTCGTGAATTTACATAATAAATTATAATGATAAAGAAAACCATCGTTAGTGATCATAAATTTTTTAAATACGTATCCTTTCTTCAAAATAGAGATATTCTTTGTTAAAATAAAAAGAATTCGTTTCCCCATATAGTTTCCTGTACGTATTTGTCCTAAAATAGCCTGAATGACATATTTGCCCAACACGTGATTCTGACCGTTTGACCCTTCACTTAACTTCGATCGAATTCCGTACTCTTTGTAACATTCTTAATCCATTGTTGACTACAGACATCCGCTGTTAAAATTTCCTGACTTCTCCCAGCTTAAGATAAATATAGAATAAATCAAATGGTAGCGTTCTACAGTCTCCCCATACAGCTTAATGAATTTTTAGTTCTCTAAGAATTTCGCGGGTAGTTTAGTGTAATATTCCCCTGACGAAGCCAAACGTCGTGAAGGTGACGGGCGCAGAAACTTTACCGGAGGGTATTCCGTTTTCACAGTAGGTGACAGTTGGTGAGTTTACGGGGCAGTTTTAATGAGGGCGGTTAGAAAATATTCAAATTTGAAAACGCACTTGCAGAACTGTTGCTCTACTCATTTTATCTTTTGTTTTTCTTTTACACGTTACCAACGGCATTGCCATTAATGCTGGGGTTTTCTGACGGCCCGTGATAACATCACCTAAATAACTGAAAACGTCTGAAGTAAAACGAAAGGTGACCGATGCTTGGACGTAATTTAGCCCACTTATTTGAACATTCCAAGATAACGTTTCAAAAAGGGCAGCATAAAGGGTGGAATGTTAGTTTTACGATCGAAAGGGCTCCGGTACACATAAGCTCAAGCAAAGGAAACCAGATTTCTGCGAAAGATATCAGCTTAATAATTTCCACATCAGAGATCTACAACCAGGAATAACCAATCGCGTGACTTACATGGAATCGCAAGCTTCTAAGAAGAACTATCTGTAACTGGAATACACGACAGACTTTCTCTTTCTTAGATGGCAAACATTCCTATTATCACCATTGACTAAAAACAAACTTTTGCCAAACAAAGAAAACGAGATCTTCAAACAAGCGAACAAACGGGTGATTAATAGATTCCGAAGTGCGTTGACTGCTGATAAGACTCAAATACATCCGGTGGCGTGATCATGGCACTGAACTTCCAAATACTCGATTACTTTAAGCGAAAAAAAAAATTCTGCGCAAAGTTTTTGTAAGCAAAGATGTATCTCACTCAAAGCCTTCTGAGCCGTTTTAACGTGTCGGTTCATGTAAAAGGGACTGGTAGAAAGAGGATTGCGAAAACGAAAGATACAAGTTGGTTTGATTTTCCTTCTCGTAGCTTAGTAGGTCCCATGCAAAACCCACGGAAAATTCAAACACATGTAAACCAATCAGCACTTTGATATCAATTTTGCTTGTAAAATATAGCACTAATAAATATAAAAGTACTAATCGAATAAGAGGTGATGGGTAAGGAAAGGTCAAGGTTCTTATTAAAATTGATACTGAGGACTTCGACTTCCTGTTATCTTTCATGACCATATTTGGACTGTCGAAGTTGCTCAGAAAGTGCCAAGAATGTCACGACATCGAGACAGACGCTCCTTAAATAGCTGGCAGGCTGCGGGGATTTCGGCCTCTAGCTGCAACACCTCACAACGCTTTCAAACGCACACAACATTGCCACGACACTGGCTCGTCCGCAATGGAACATGTCAATTCTTAGAATTTATAGAGCTGTAGTCTTGGCCGCGGCGCGGTCCTTCCATTAGGGCCTGTCAGTTTTCACGCAGCAGATTTGAGCATTTAATAATCGAGGATGGGAAAACCAATATCTTAGTATTTAAACCATGAGGAAGAGCATTACTTAAATTCCGTTGTTCAACAACAATCTCAGATTGGCCTTTCGCCTTCCATGTATATTGGGCAAGAATCAGTTCTGTCACTTCGGCAAGATCACTGGATGTTGTCCAATTTCCCTTACCGCAGCCGTTCGAAAACAGTCATTAATGGAAAAAGTCAAGTGGTAAAGACGAGCAGACGCGGTAATCAATCTGAGGTCTTGAGATGAAAAGAACAGTGACACATTTCAAGAATTCGAAGGTCTTTTACAGTGTTTGTAGAAACTTATAATTCTGAAGTATATCATTACTTTTTATCGTGTTATGATCAATCATGTATCCACGAACCAATTTCCCCTGCTCCTTATAGTTTATTTATCTCACATCACATTTTATTTATCTCCTCCTCCTTTAAGGTTGTGAAGTTGAGTAGGATAACAAAAGGAATTAAAATCAAAACAAATTCTAAATTTGTATATCCTCCAGTTGTGAGTTACACACAGTTTTTGTTCTGTTCCTTAGTTTCAATTTGTCACAGGCTTCTCAGAGCACAACTGGTGTTTAAATCTGCTTTTTTTTTTTATCCCCATGCATCCATCCCACATCCCTAATAGAATCCCCCTCTCAACCTCTATCATTGTTTTTAACCCTTCAACCCCTTTGAATGTCTAGCATCCAATTTCTCCTTACAATACCAGCAGTGAATCAAACATTATGGTCATGAGAATTGAGGGAATGATCACCAACTTAAGCAGCTCTTGATTATTAAACAAATTCTCTTTGTCAGCACCTTGGAAAATGTAAAGTGAATAGTATGGAGAATATGGATACTGATGTTAGGGGGGAAAGGGTTAATCTTGAACTTAACCTATATAAATACTATATACTTTGTTCCATCCCTTTAGAAGTGACTTCTTTCTTTTCACCTTAGAGGTAAATCCTTACCTCTTCTCCAACCCAACCAATTACAACAGATGTGTTTGGGGAATAAGAGTTGTAATATTGCTGTTCATGATGAAATCATCTACATGTATGCATCTGTGCTCCATAGATCATAAGGAAGAATTTGTCAAAATGTGTGTGCAATTCAGCGCATGATATAATTCTTCCTAGCAACTTATCTTATAGACATTTAAACAGTGCCAGAAATTACAGAAATTGTAGTTTACTAAACTTAAAGACCAAATATTCACTAATGCAAAGAGATTTAATCAAGTAGGTATACAGTATAAATATATTTAACAAATAGATTCCAAGTTGCTGTGTGTCTGTTCAGTAATAGATCACAGATGATGTCAAAATGTGGTAAGAACAAAAAGTGGCACACAAGGCGTAGCCGAGTGTGTCACTGATGTTCTTACCACATTTTGACATCCTCTGTGATCTATTACTGAACAGATGCACAGCAACTTGGAATCTATTTGTTTTATATAATAAAGAATTAAAATATATGGAAAAAAAGTTTTAATGATGTCATCTATACATGTCCTTCAATAGATCATAAGGGAGAACCAATCAGAATGCATGCATAACTGAGCTTATTATATAAATATACATATACTGTATACCTACTTGATTAAATCTCTGCTGAGAAAATTATAGTGTTTGAGTCCTTTAAGAAAATGTCACCATTATTAATTCAGTCATTCCTAGGCTTTTTAAATATAGACATATTATAAATATGGTGCAAACAGCCATGTTCTGTTTCACTTCGAGGAAGCAGCTGTCGTTGAAAATTAGAAGTCGAGAAGCTGTAAAATATAGAGAACACAATAAATGATCCCACTCATGAGAAAGTTTTCATTCCATGATTGCTTTTATGGTTAAGACGTTAGAGAAAGTTCAAGCTTTTTGGACTTCTCTTCATCACCAAAGACCCTTTAAACCCTAGGAGTGAACAGCATCAAGTTTCTCCTGACAATATACTGCTGAATCATTCATTTGAGATCATGCAAATGAAGGAAATGATCACCAACCAAAGAAGGCATTGACTGTTAAACAAATTCTCCTTGTCAGCACCTTAAGAAATGTATAGATAACAAAAGGGAGAATGTGCATACTGATGTTACGGTGTAAAGGGCTAAGATTCTGGTTAGATGAATTTTTCTTGTTAAATCTCTGAGTCTATTTTTTTCTAATCTTATTTGAATTTGTGATACTTTTGTTACTTCTAATAAGGTTTCTTACCAGCTGGGGCAGAATCTTTTCCAAATGTTCTGTTTCAACTGTTGGCGAGGATTCAACCTACAAAGTGCCAAATAGTTAAAGAGCAAATGCTTTCTGGGGATAATTAGAAGACAAGATTTTTATTGCAAAAGGTTGACATAGAGCAGAGTTTCAAAATATACTTTAAATGTTTTGGTGAAGTCCTCCTTACACTTCATTCTTAATATGAAAGTATTTCCATCATTCTCTTTTTGTCCATTTGTAAAATGTTCTTGCTAACTTCTAATTATAGGAATAACTCTGTTAAGTTTTCATATAAAAATACCTTTGAATAAAGGGAGTAAATTTGTAAAGAAACTGTGGTGCTGTGTTGGTGGGAGAGTATAACAGGGTAATTTGTCTTATCAACTGAGTTGATAATGTATATTGGCCACCATAAAGAGTTTAAAAACTGACATTTGGAACATTAGCCCTTCGTCAGAGCAATGTTAATCTTCCAATTGCTCTGAGGAAGGGCTAATGCTTGAAATGTCAGGTTTTAAACTCTTCATGGAGGCCAATTTATGTTATCAACTCAGTTAATAATACAAAATACCCAAAAAATACCTTTGCTTGTTTTCCAGCCCTGGCTGCTCCCTCTGTGGAAAAAATAATACTACACTTAAAATATATCTGGTAAATTAATTTTTAGTTATTTTGTGTCTGTTCTGTAATATATCACAGATAACCTTATCTTGTAGTAAGAACAGAAAAGTAGCAAATGCAGCCCAGCTGTAGTTTCTTGGTGATGTTTTAAACACAAACTGGACTTTCTAGGATACTGGAAATTTTGTTCACAAAGTTCAAAATAAGAGGGCCTCTACATCATAAGGAGTTCTTGCAAACTTCAATGTGAAAATACTTGAGTAATCACCAAAACCATTCCAAAGAAATGTAAATAACTAGTCTAAATATGATTGAGATTTTAATTTAATATTTAACTAGATGTACAATGCCAAAACACACTTTTTAAGTGACGCCTTTATGTAAAGCATTTTTACCTGCAACAAAGATCCTTAACAATTCTGCCATTAGCTTTAGGGCATCTCCATTACCTGTGAATTACAAATTATGTTTTAATTCAAGTATCAGTGCAGTATGCAGCTATCAACCATATTGGAAATGAGGTGGTCTAGTAGTTAACCAACTGCTCTCATGAGTTAAAGGTCAGAGTTCAGGTCTTTAGCTAGACCAGTGTTAGATGTTCTTGTGTCTGACAGTTATTTCTAATGGTGCCACTCTCATTTCCAAGTATCAGCCAGGAGTTTAAACTGGTTACCGGAATAAAGAACACCAGTCAGGGTCAACCCACTATGTATAAAATCTCAGCTGTGTAAGGAATTAACTCTTCCCTTCACTTAATATCACTATATTGTATTGGTCTGGCACTCACAAGGTAGTTATACATGCAACCCTATTTGTTTTACTGGCTGACAGTAATTTCTTCTCATGTTACTTATGACAGTTTGTCAAAGTAACAGTTTGCAGGCAAACTTCTGCATACCAGCCATCTTGACTGTTGTAGAGCAGACATTGTGAGAAAGTGGCTGTTAATGAAGAATTGTAAGTATAAAATAACTCTGTTGAAATTTTATTTCTCTCAGGTTTTTAGTACCTCTTGACTGGGGATAAAGGTATGAAGGGTTTTGTAAGAGATTTTCAAGATTTTTTTATGAAAACTTCCCAAGACTAATTTTAATCATCAGCAAATATCAATATTTCTTGACTACTTGTTTTAGCCTTTTGAAAGATGCTTTGTATGAGACATTTAGAAACTGGTAGGTCTGATATGGAGTGTGCATCAGTCGAGAGGGGTATGGTGTGATTTCAAATGCAACTCTGGCTTGAGGAACAGAGCTGGAGCTAGCTGAAACTTTGCTTGCCATTTGTTTCACTCTTGTTTTAGCTCAGTAAATATTAATTGTTTGGTAATGCAATACTGATTCATCCCTCTTCCTTATTCACTACCCACAACTCCTCGACCCAGTCTTCGTGTGCGTGTAGTATCTCGAGTTTAAAACTTACATTTTGTCTTCTGTTTGTCGCGAAAAAACTGCTGCAATAGCTTGTTCACTGTTTCCTGTAATAAAAGAAAAACTCGTAAAATCTTAAATAAAAACAGATGCATGAGCTGGAGAAAAAGGAGATCTTAATTCACCCAAGATACTCTAACAAATTAGAACAGGTTATGGTAAAATTTCTGCACAGCCCCATACTATTCTAAAGCAAATCTGTTTTCCCAATGGCAATGTATTGTTTTTGTCACCGTTTTCTCTATCCAAGAACTGAATGCATAATGAAGTATGGGGCTCAGCGGAAATTTTACCCAGATTATTTCATGTATTTCACAAGCAGTCTTGACGTATTTCCTCAGAATTCTCTTTTACAATTCTTTTATGGAAAGAAATCATTTCTTTGTTATTCAACGTACCAATTTAAATGGTGGATCGTCCATTCTTTAGTTTCTTTTTGGCCAAAAAATGGCACTAAACTTGTGGCAGATTGTTCAACAGACCTCGCTCTGTTTATTTTTGCCGCCAACGACCAATGTTATCCCAGAATTCCTCTATACCCGTCATCCGGGACTTCAATGTTACCGAGAGCCATTGCTCAACAGAGGAACACACCACGTTGGACAGCGTTTTGTTAAATTGTGGTTAAATTATTCGCCGTCGTCGAAGTCACTTCTGTCATGGGACGTAAAAAGAAGAAGGCTACAAAGCCCTGGTGCTGGTATCCTTTAACACTTAACTTATGTTCATGTGATCGTAAAAATTGTTAGGGTGACAAAGCAAATTGTTCAGACTTCAACTTAAAATATCCAGCCGGCTGGCTGGCAGTTTTGAAGTTCAATTACGTCGTTCCTCACATTTTTTTCCGAGGAATAAAGCTTAAATCCCGTGAAAAGCGAATCGAATTCGAGATTTTCTCCCTAGCTATGTAACTGCTCAAATTTTAGCTAGGTAGCTGTTATTCTTCTTTAAGAAGGAACAATTTGATCAGTCAATTTTTTAACATTCATAAGAGTCTGCATAATTTTAAATTATTTTTCTTGTGTTTGAAAGGTATATAATAAGGTAAACTGAAGCGTTTCTACTCGGAAGTTAAAAGCAGCATGACTTGATAGATTTACGAAAACTGTACTGCCACATTCAGTTGTTACCATAGAAGTATTTTTATGCTGTCATGTTGTGGGTGGATGCACCTTGTGTTATTTTCAAAATTTTTGTGAACACCTTGACTACACTAAAGGTATTGTAATCGTGACTTTGATGAAGAAAAAATATTAATCCAGCATCAGAAGGCCAAACATTTCAAATGTCCTATTTGTCACAAGAAGTTATACACAGGCCCAGGGTTGGCAATCCACTGCATGCAAGTTCACAAAGAAACTATAAGTACTATTCCCAACTCTGTACCAAACAGAGGAGACCCAGAAATAGAGATCTATGGCATGGAGGGTATTCCAGAGAAAGACTTGAAAGAACGTCAACAGAAGGGGGGAAATGCTGGTGATGGTAAGTGAACTTTTAAAAGAGGTGGGAAAAGAATGGGGTAGAAGTTGGCAGGATACTTGCATGAACACTGTGATTGCTAAGCTCACTAAACCCTTTAACTCCCAAGATCTCATTAGTAATTCTCCTACTGTCTGCCTAACGATTCTCATTATGTTAGTTTGGAGAATTTGGTATCAGATCAACAAGTAATCCCACACTCAATATTTTTCTTTATTCTCATCATTTGTCTGCATGATACTGTATCGATATAGTAAGGAGAAATTCTGTTTCGGTCACTCACGGGAGTTAAAGGGTTAAGAGAGTCTTGTGGCTCATTGGTAGAACAAAAGGGTCAGATCCAAGGGTCTGATCTTGGGAACTTAACATTTTTTCTTTGTACTGTGCTTGCTACAGAGCAAAAAAAACATCTGTCTCTTTGAATGATTTGTACACACAGGGTGTGAAATTAACTTTTTTTTCTGATAGCCACTTGGCTCCTAAATTCTTCAAAGTGGTAGCCAATTCAAAAAAAGTTGGTCGCCATTTTTAAAGACAAACAAAATCTTTCTTTATGCTGTCAGCGTTCTAGATAGACCCTCCAAAATTAAGTTAGGGAAAAGATCTTTAACGTGCTACAAAGTGGACACTAGGATAGATGATATACAACGTTCAGGCTCATCTAAATCCAAGATGGCATCTAGTTATCGATCGAGATGCATGTGCTATGTTTTGGAAACAAACTTAACGAGGATGTTTGCCGCGGATTTATCTTTGCAAATATTTTAATTCACTATATCTCTTGATAAGGTTATGATGAAACGTTCTAGTCGCCAATTTGGCGACTAACTTTCAGGATTTGGTCGCCAAAGTGAAAAATTTAGGGGAAGAAAATTTTCCTATAGTGCTTAATTTAAATCAAAGAATAATGGATCACTTGCATTTAGTTCTCATTCAATTACAATGGTTCCAAGGGTGTTATTCCTCATTCTTCAAATAATGTAGTGAAATGGGACTCTCAATAGCCCTGTAGTCTGTCAGTGATCCTTCATTTGGACGGTTTTCACTAAATGTTATGATGGCATTGTCAACATTCAGCAACAAGCAGATTTTTTCTATTTTGATTCTAACCCCTGATTATTCCATGTCAGTGCTGAACAGGATCTTTACTCCATTACAATTTTTTTCAGGTGACTAGGAATGTATTTAAAGTCTAGCCAGTGTTAGGCACCAGTGACCTACCCAGCTAGAGGTTACTCCAGTTTTTACACTACAAAGTGATAAAGATCTTATTGCTCCAACTGGATAGGTGCCTAGTTAATTGGATGTCTTAATTTAGTTTTGTTATGTTGTAGATGATGAACCAGAGAAAAAGAAAGCCAAGACTGAGAATCAGCCACAAACTTCAGCAATGCCTGCAGCTGTACCTGGGGCCATACCAATGATGCCTATGATGCCTGTGCCAGGAATGCCAGTTCCTCCAGGCTTCCCTCAAATGCCCTTTGTTCAGCCAATGCCAGGTAAAGAAATTGTAGAGGATTTAACATCTGGGAAATATTTAGATCAAGGAGTATCACTTAATAATAGAATGTGTATTCAATCTCAAGTATTTTAATTAAATTATATGAGTGGATAATTAGTGTTCAAGATTCAATTGTGAAGTGTTGCAATCATAACACAGAAAGCCGGTTATTCAAGTTGATGGGCAATTAAATTACTGGGCCTCTATTTAGGACAAAAAGTGTTTACACAAGAAAGGTTGGTTGTATAACAGGGTGTCAGAGACCATTACCTTGATGAAGTTCTTTTGTTTCAACTGCAGGTGCACCACACATGCCACCTGTTGCATTTCCAGGTCAGCTTCCTGTTCACATGCAGATTCCTGGGTATGTTGTTACATGTTATTCTGGTTTTGAAGTAACTTTATTCAACGTATTAGCTATGCATTATGGTCTAACACTAAGTGACACCGACTAGTCAATTCTAGGGAGAAACTGAAAATTATAATTTAGTAAATGTAAACATTTCAATCAATTTTTTTTTAACTGTTTGTTCAACATTGAGCTGTGGCATGCAGCCTTAGCATTTTCCTTTATTTTCTTTCCTGAAGCATGCCAATCCCACCACACGGAGTGCCCCCAAACACTGTCCCACCAACCAGCACAGCTACTGCCCCTGGTCAACCTCAACTTCAAAAAGGTCCTGTTATTGGGCCTCAGGTACCCAATACCAAACCCCTCTTCCCTGCTGCACAGGTAAGTTAATTTTTTTCCTTCCAACAGGGATTGTCTCCTTTCCCTTCTCTAACAGTAAGTACATGAACATAACTTGTAGTCTTTAGTACTACTAGTGCATTTGTAGAAGTAAACTCTCACAAGTTTGCACTAATGGATGAAATAAAGACCCATGTCTAAAGGAGATATGATTCAAACATACCAGTAATCATTTTCATGTCAAGATACCAATTTGAAAAAATTGTGCCTGAATCAAATCTTTAATTCATTGGTGACAAGAGTCTTAAATTATATGTGGCTACAGTAAGAAGTATCAATTTTAAGTTCTCTATTGGTTTCCTTAAAAAAAAAAGAAAAGGAAATTGTTTTTTTGTTTGTTTCAAATATTCTTCAGATTTGAAGAGAAATCAAAAGCAATTATCTATCTGAGTACATGTAGTGTCACGTATAACACAGTACCCCTTATTCTCAGAAATGTCACAAAGAAAATGGGATCCTTATTATTTAACAATTCTGTTGTTGCATGGAACATGCAACATCAGTAGGTCCATCCAAAATGCAGAAAAGGATTACTTGTTTTACTACTGGTCAGAGTGAGTGAGTTAAATTTCCAACATTTTGTTTTCTTCAAATGCATACTTTAAAAAGTGATGTAACACTTTCAACAGGAAGTACAACTTTTTGTTATTTCATCAATTTGTTGATCAGTAGCTGTTTCATTTTCCCCTACTGAATGGTTCCTCTCTACCATGGCTTTGTCCTTTTTTCTTCCATGACCTGTATCTTACAAACCTACTATCTACTAGTACTTTTGTTGGTACAGCTCATTCCTATACAATTTAATAAGGCTCTCTCTCTAAATCTTTTTGAAAACATTATCGTCTTTATTTTTTTCTCTGATAAGAATGTAAATGGAGCTGCAAAATCCAGTGCTTCATCTGGCCCTGTGGGTGCTGACTTCAAACCACTTCTTTCAACGGCCACAGCCACAAGTTATCAAAGCCCACCAGTCACATCAACTGGTAAGTATTTGAGTGTCATTTTTTTCTTCTTACTGAGAAGTATTTCTTGGTTAGTGGAAACTTGAGGTATCTACTTAGCTTGAGACAGCTGTCAAGTGTGACTAGATTAAAAGAAAGTTGTCATTGTAAACTTAAGTAATGTGACTTAAATGAGCAAAGCTGATTAAGTTTACTCTTCAGGTAAACCAGTTGTACCACCTCCTACTTCTGCTCCTGTTGTTACCAAGCCTGCTACCATAGTTGCACCAGGAGCAACAAGCCGTTTGGTTCATCCTGATGAAGATATTTCACTGGTAGGAGAGAAACCTTAAAACATGCTTTCCTTTGTTTGTTCTTGGCTAGCCAGTGTTTTGATAACCACTTGTTCTTCTTAAGAGGAAGAAGTCAAATTTTGTCTCACAAATTACTAATAAGTAGGGTTGTAACTAGAGGCTTGCAGCTATTGTAAACTTCACCAGTTTGTTTCCAGATGGTGCAGATCATCTGCAAAAGTTGATATCCAGCACCACTTACTTAAAAACTGAAGCAGTGAGCAAATGAGGGGAGTTTAAACTGAACCTGTTTCAACATTCCTATTACAGGAAGAACGACGGGCATCGCATCCTAAATATGCACCAAAGACACCCAGTCTCCCATCATCTAACCCTGTTACTATGGTTAGTGCCCCTCCTATGCAGATGCAGGCACCTGGAAGTCATCCAAGCATTGCTCCAATGCCTCTGATGGCCAACTTGCCACAACCCCCTATTTCCATGTCATCAGCACCCACAGGGCCACCACAAGGAGGGCCTTCTCAGGGAGGACCTATACATGGAGGGCCAGGAGGACCCATTCCCAGGGGCCCTGGAATGGGCCCACCTGGAATGCGGCCACCTGGATTTCCACCCCACATGCCTGGGCCACCACCACATCAACAAGGAATGCCACCAGGGATGCCACCAAGGCTTGGTCCACCTGGCAACTTCTCAGGACCACCATCTCTCATGGGGGCACCTCCTGGCCCAGGAGGGCCTCCTCGTGGACCTCCCCCAAGAGGAGGACCAGGACTTCTTGGGCCACACCCTGGCGGTAGGCCACCTATGAGATTACCTATGGGTGCACCTAGACGATTTTAAGATTGTAAAATTAATTCAACTAGGGTTTTTCAGAAATGCCAGATAAATGTTTCATCTGAGGGATAGCTGCATGGCATATCATACTACTTGTTGTTTTTGTATAGTTATTCATTCATATAGTTAGTCATTTTCTGACCCCATGCTTACGTTATCAAGACTCAGATGTTGAAAGCATTGCCTGCAGTCATTTTTTTCTGATTTACCAAGTAGGACACAAATCAAATTATCAGCATGTGTTCCAATTTAATTATTTCACTTGAATTGGTGTCTATTGTTCTGGAGTGGTCACAAGGTGAGTCTATTTTTACGTAAGTAAATTATAACAGATTTCTTTGCTGTAGTTTATTGAGCATCAATGCACATTCAGAAATTAAAAGAGACAGCAGTAAAATCTGAAACAAAGGAAAAGGATTTTATGTTTCTAAAACTAACAGAGCTGTGTTAAACTAAACAAGTGGAGCTTCACTTTTATTGTTTCCTTTTTCATCTGGCATTTCTGTTAAATTCTTATTGAGCACAGTAAAATATTTTTTCCATGTATCCTCTTTTGATATGAAACATTTTCTCTCCTAAGAATGCTTTGTAATGATCCAAATTATTATCTCTCAGAATGTAGAGTAGATATAATGAAATGTTGTTTATTTACATTGTTAATTAAACTTTGCTCTCAGATTCTGTACAAAAAGGTAGGTGCAATAAAGGATTTTAAAATATCTTTTAAGTATTCATATCTCTTTTCTTGTTTTTTCTCCTTGTCTTGGCTAGGGGTAGGTTAGCAGCATGATTTGATTTAAGTAGAATCATATTCGTGTCATGAGGCCAGTTTAGAAACGTTAAAATTGTACT